TGCTAGAGAAGAGTTGTTGTTCCACTGATTCATTGGTGAAGTCATATCCATCTAAAAATGCTACTTTTCTCAATGAAGTTTGGTGCTGAAGAGCGAGCGAGGCGACTAAATACGTTGTAGCTTCAAACTTAAGTGGCGGCCATTGATTTTATTTCCCTTTGAACTTTGTTGTAGGCGACGGTGAAACAAACTTTGTTTCTTCATTGGAAAATCTTCGTATAAAACAATAAACCACATCAGTAACTGGTCAGGGAACCGCAGGGACAATCAAACCAAAGTCCATTGAGAAAATAAGCGATTTTCCATCACAGCCCGCAGCAGTTGTTGATCCACGGCTGCCTCCAACAGTTACCTCACAATTTATTTGTTTTTTGCTAAGTCAGTGTTTAAAATCATTTTAAATGCACTGTAGTGCCACAGACTGACCACTAGAGGCAGCATCGGAGTGACAGCTGCTCTGTCTGTCTAATGGAGTCAAATGGACTGGTTTTGATTGTGAACTCTGGTGTGGCTGCTGTCTAAGTGCCAGATAAAGCTGTGAGCATGTTTGTTTGGTTCCTAGGCCTCGACTGTGGACGGCTGTTTAAAAGTCAAACTGCTGAATGTTGAAGGCAGCAGGTGGATTTGAGGATTTCTCAGTCGCCAACGGCCTAAAGAGTCTAAGCTCCCTGCTTTAATTAACATACACAGACATGAACGCACAAACACGTCCACGCACACACACACACAGGGAGCAGGGTGGGAGACAAGCTGCTTCAAAGCCTGGCTGAATCAGATTACCTGTTAGCATTAGCATATTAGCCCGGAGCGCGGCGGTGGAGGACGGCACCAGGAGCCTGACGAATGTTTCAGCGCAGGGATATTAGTGAGGAGTTGTGCGGCGCTGATACACAGCAGATGACATTGGGGTTTGACATTGAGATGGTGTGTCGAGCCCCGCCGACTGGAGACGTGCACACTCCCGCGCACTCACGCACACACGGAGGGAGAGCAGAGGAGCTGAGGCTGATGAGACATGATCTGATCAAAGAGTCTTTGTAATAATGATGATCAAATTGTCTCCATTCAGAGGCAGCGCAGAGAAAGTGCTGCCGTACCGTGGTGTTCCCTCAGGAGCGCAGCAGCGCGTGCACGTGCACGCCTCCTCTCTCCTCTGCTGTCGATTTTACTGTGTGTATTTTTTTATATTAAGTAATAAAAGCACAAGGCAATTTTCTCTCTCTCCTCCATCTTTTCCCATCATCCCTTCCTCCGTTCTCTCACCCTCTCACCTCGGCCTCGCTCCTTTCCCGCCTCCCTAATTCTTTTTCCTCTTTTGTCCCTGTCTTTTCCCCACGTCTGTCTCTCTGTTAAATCTCCTCCTCCTCCTCCTCTCTTTTCTGTTCTATTCTTCATCACATTTTTTTCTCCACGTCATCATTCTATATTTACAATAAAGAAGAAGAGAATCATCTGGAGACAAAACGACTGATAATATTTAGCTGGAACAATTATTCAAATGTGAACCAAACTCGTATTTGGTACAAAGTCCAACTTTCCTCTGAATGTAACAGTAACAGTAACAGTAACAGTGTTACCGGCCCAACTGCTGCTGACTGCAGCCATTCTGACACTTCCAGCAGTTTTGAATGAATTAGCAGTTAGCACCGACGATCTTCAACAATCAGTCAGTTATTTGTGTGAGAAACTACATACACAGATCTTGAGAACGGAACTGGAAAAGCAATTTTGTGAGAGTCGAAAAACAAATGTTTAAAATAATGCTGGCCCACGACTATTAGAAATGTTCTTTACATTCATTGGTTGATGACACATGAGGTCACCAGGCCCACGTCAGCACTGATTAACACACTGTCCCTGCTTATGTATTTAGACCCAGTGTGCTGGTTCAAATTCACATTAACTAAAAAAAAAAAAAAAACACGCAGAAAAGTTATATTTTAGTGATGGACAGAATTTCTCTGGACAGACACCTGGAGGGCCGGACACTCAAATAAAATGAAATTCACATTTGTGGCAGTCACTAATGCAGACTGACAGAGGGACGGAGCAGGGACCAACTACTCCTGACGTCCAACACCAAGTCTATAACTTTGACTTGTTGATTTCCATGAATGCTCAGCCATTTATAATGTAATAACACTGTAATAACACAGAGTGAAACAGCTGGTTTATAACCTCCAGCACTGGGAAACTCTAACTCCACAGCGCCACACACTGGAGCTTGCTGACTGTTGTTTTTACAGATATCCTCCTGTTGGTGTGTGTCCCTGTCCCACAGACCTGGTCTGGGTCTCATCACACTCCCCTGTCCAACAAAGTCCTCCAACAGGTGGTGACGTCTTCAACCACTGAGTGACCAAAGTTCTGTGACAAGGTAACTTTCCCAGAGGGACAGGATTAGGACCCGTACGTCTGGACTCTGGCTGCACAAGTCATTAGAGAAACTCCTGATTTATTTATTTATTTAGCTCGTCTTCAAAATTGAAATGAAATGAATTCATACTCGTCCGTAAATTAACAAGTGATTACATTTGTTTTTTCAATTACTCATCAGAAAAAGTCATTTGTAAATGCTGTCTTTCTTTCTCTGGACGTGATCCAGAGAAGGTGGCTACACACACACACACACACACACACACACACACACACACGGTCAAATACAGACGAGCTCCAGTGCTGTGTACAAACATCCACACACAAATTGCACACTGGGGTTTACACTCTCACATTTGCATATGTACATTTACATACATGCATATGAATGTGTCCACATGTGGCCCCGTCTCACACACACACACCCTCACACTCACACACAGAGAAAACAAAGAAAGACATTTTCATGTCCCCATGTCATGAAGTCAAACGTGTTCTTTTGTCTTCATAATCCTGAAATCTCGATGCAAACGAAGATGAAGGTTTTCTTCAAATGAAGAACCTCCAGCCACGGGGACGTCGGGGGAGGGGACGGCTTCATGCAAAACAGTTTAGGGTTTGATTCCAGCTGCATGCTCCCTAAGCTGTGATCGTCCTGCAGCCCCAAACCACCTGGGGGCGCTGGTTCTAGTCCCAGTGTCCTCTCTGGGACGTTCCTCTTATCATCTCCACCTCTGACTACGGTTCAATGTCTCCAGTGTTCCCACCCTGTCCCTGTCCCTGTCCCTCTGCTGGTGTGCCAAACTGTTCCACTCCAGCCTTTCCTCTGATCTGACCAATCAACAGAGAGAATGACCTGAGGGTCTCATGGTTACAGAGGTCAGAGGTCAGAGGTCACAGCCATCTGTTTATTATCTGCATGTTCAGGACTTTTTTATGAATCTGTGGATATGGACCTCTCTA